TGACGTTTTGATTTTCTTTCCAGCTTCCAGCTTTCAAACATGGAGACGTTGTCGTTAACGAATCCTACGCAGCCTGTTTTTACCTTGAGGTGAGGAAGCCAGACCTCGGTTCAGGAGACGCTGCTAATTAAAAAAAGAAAGACCAGTCCAACGTTCCCCGTCTTGTTTTTGACAGAACAAGTTTAAATCTCAGGGAACCAAACTGATCCCAGACGGCCCTGAAGAACAAGCTCTGATGTACCAACGCATGTTCGAGGGCCTCACCTTCTACGAAAAACTCAGTAAGTCAGTCGCACCATTATAAATGTTTATAATTATTTGTAAGTCAAAGGGGTCTTCTCCTATAAATTAACAGTATTTAAATTAAACCAAATTCCAATATAAATAAATTAAATTTCTTATTATTGCTCTAATCTTAGCCGTTGCCACAAAATCTGCTTTTTTAGCTCTAATTTACACAATCTGTTCGTAGGATGCTGGTTACTAAAAAGCCTATAAATTAAAACTAGACCATCACCCGCTGCGTTTCATGACGAAGTTTTACACAAAGATCTTGTGTGATTCGTTAACCCCCAAGATATGTGATGGGGATGACTCTCAGCTACTACCATGCCAAATCTGATCTATTTATTGTTGTTGTAGCCATTGTTGTGTTTACTAAAATAATTTAGCTATAGCAGCGACCATCTTGAATTGGGTTGAGTCCAAAAAGTGATCGGTTGTAGATCCAGTGATTACTTACTGATTGTTTTAAACTTTGATCAATCAGTTCACTAAATATTTACTTACAGATGTGATTAGACAAAGACAAACCCTTGTTCATAAACCATTTTGTAAGTTGCTGTCATAAGTCATTACCGCTATGATTGGAGTTTTATTTATTTTATTGTCATTTCAAGACGCAGATTTGGAGGAAATAACACTCTATGTACAAACCGGATTCCAAAAAAGTTGGTACACTAAACAAATTGTGAATAAAAACTGAATGCAATGATGTGAAGATGGCAAATGTCAATATTTTATTCGTAATATAACATGGATGACAGATCAAAAGTTTAATCTGAGTAAATGTAACATTTTAAAGGAAAAATATGTTGATTCAAAATTTCACTGTGTCAACAAATCCCAAAAAGTTGGGACAAGTAGCAATAAGTGGCTGGAAAAAGGAAATTGAACATATAACGAACAGCTGGAAGACCATTTAACACCAATAAGGTCAATTGACAACATGACTGGGTATAAAAAGAGCTTCTCAGAGTGTCAGTGTCTCTCAGAAGCCAAGATGGTAAGAGGATCACCAATTCCACCATTGTTGCGCAGAAAGATAGTGCAGCAATACCAGAATGGTGTTACCCAGCGTAAAATAGCAAAGACTTTTAAGTTATCATCATCAACCATGCATAACATCATCAAAAGATTCTCTGAATCTTTTGATGATGTTATG